GAAAATAATCATTGTGGCCTTTCTGCACATTTTGAAAAATTAATTCCTCTTAATTATGATAGCTATAACTTCAATGCTGGTACCTTAAAGGTTATTATTTTTAAATTATATTTTATTGATTATAATATTATAGTTGTCCCAATTTTTCCCTTTGCCCCCTTCATCCAGCACCCCCACTTCCTTCAGGCAATCCCCACACCATTGTTCATGTCCATGGGTCATGCATATAAGATCTTTGGCTACTCCATTCCCTATACTGTACTTTACATCCCCATGGCTATTCTGTAACTACCTATTTGTACTTACTAATCTCCTCACCTCTTCACCCTTTCTCCCACAACTCTCTCCCATCTGGCAACCATCCAAACACTCTCCGTATCCATGATTCTGTCTCTGTCGTAATTTGCTGTTTGTTTTTTAGATTCAGTTGTTGATAGATACACATTTAATGCCATTTTATTGTTCATAGTTTTGATCCTCTTTTTCTTAAATAAGTCCCTTCAACATTTCCGATAATAATAGCCTGGTGATGATGAAGTTCTTTAGTTTTTTTCTTGTCTGGGAAGCTCTTTATCTGTCCTTAGATTCTAAATGGTATCTTTGCTGGGTAGAACAATCTTAGCTGTAGGTACCTGCTTTTCATAACTTATGAATGTCCTGCCAGTCCCTTTTGGCCTGCAAAGTTTCTTTTGAGAAATCAGCTGACAGTCTAATGGGAACTCCCCATTAGGTAACTAACTGCTTTTCTCTTGGTGCTTTTAAGATTCTCTCTTTATCTTCAAACTTTGGCCTTTTGATTATAATGTCCTGCAATGGGCCTCTTTGCATCCATCTTGTTTGGGGCTCTCAGTGCTTCCTGGACTTGCATGTCTATTTCCTTCACCAAATTAGGGAAGTTTTCTTTCATTATTTTTCAAATAGATTTCCAATTTCTTGCTCTTCCTCTTCTTCTGGCAGCCCTATGATGTGAATGTTGGAAACCTTGAAGTTGCCTCATAGGCTGCTTACACCATCCTCATTTTCTGGATTCTTTTTTCTTCTTGCTGTTCTGATTGGATGTTTTTTGCTTCTTTATGTTCAAAATCATTGATGTGATTCTCAGTTTCAACCACTCTACTGCTGTTTCCCTGTAAATTGTTCTTTATTTCAATAAATGTATCCTTTATTTCTGACTGGATTTTTTTATGCTGTTGAGGTGCTAAGTTCCTTTAGCATCCTAATAACCAGTGTTTTGAACTCTGCATCTGATAAATTGTTTATCTCCATTTTGCTTAAGTCTTTTTCTGGGGTTTTGATCTGTTCTTTCATTTGGGTCATATTTCTTTGCCTCCTCATTTTGTCAGTCTCCCTGTGTTTGTTTCTATGCATGAGATAGAGCTGCTATGACTCCGTATCTTGGTAGCATGGCCTAATGCAGTAGGTGTCCTGTAGGAGGTATCCTCCCCTATCACTCAAGCTGGATAGTGTAAGCGCGACCTTCATGTGGGCTAAGAATATCCTCCTCTTGTAGTTGAGCCTTAATTGCTGCTGACAGGTCAATAGGAGGGATTTACCCATGCCAGTCAGCTACAAAGACGGGCTGTGACCACTGACTACCAATCTCTGCCTGCAGAAGAGGATCAGCTGCGCAGGGGTAGGGTGGCATTTCTCTGATGTAGTCTGTAGCTTGTACACGGTGCACAGGCTCTGGGGTTTCTTGGGTGGTGCAGGCCAAGGTCAGCCCCCACCTGTGTTGTGCCTAGGACCACCCTGTACAAGCTATAAAGCAATCTGAGATGGCTATTTGTGCTGGACTTGGAGTTTCCCTGGTGAAGCCAAGCTGCAAATCTAGGCTAATGCTGCTAGTGCCCAGCCTGGGGCCACTTAGCAAGAAGTACAGGGTTTGGGGGCTCACTGAGGCTGGCTGTTGCTTATTTAAGAGGATTTAGGAAGTTGTGAAGCATGAGCCATGACCATCCATTCATATGTAAAAGACACCGGTAACAGCTTGGGTGGGCCCAAAAGTTGGGTGAGCTCAAAAGCTGGGTGAGATGGCTAGTCAGGGGATATCCAGGGCAGGGCATACTTAGCCAGGTTGATGGAATCTCAGATTTGGCACTGTCCTGCTGGCTTTGTGGCTCTGTTGGGGGAGGGTTCAGAAAAGGGACAGTGGCCTCTGCCTGCATTTCTGTCCAGGAGAAAGCTGTCCCCAAGCTCTTGTCTTGATGATAGTCACTTTAGTTCCTCCTCTTATGCCACTGGTGCTTTTCAAGTTGCTTCCGGAGCTCAGAGGGAGTGATTGAGTTTGAGTAAGTCCGTGTACAGATTGCTTAAAGGGAACTGCTTGTGACTCCAAAAGTTTCTTCCATCGACTCAATCCCCACTGGTTTTTGCAGCCAGAAGTTATGGGGATATAATAAATATCTTCCTGGCACTGGTTCCCTGGGCTGGGGGCCCTGGTGTGGGTCTAGGACTCCTCATTCCAGATGCATCCCTCTCAAATTTTTATCCACCACACGTGGATGTGGGACTAGCCTGTTTTGTGTCTCCAACCTCTTACCAGTCTGAATACATACAGTTTCTTTAATTCCGGAGAATGGCTGTTAATTTTTTAAAATATGCTTTACTTTGAAGGAACTAGAGAAAAAACAAACTACCCCAAAGACAGCATAAGGAAATAATATAAAAAGCAGAGATAAATGAAACAGAGAATAGATAATTTTAAAAGCCAACTAGGAACTGTTTTTTTTGAAAAGATAAAATTGACAGACCCTTTGATTAACTGAGAATAAAATCAGAAATGAAAGAAGGTACATTATAACCAATGTTACAGAAATAAAAAGGATAAGAGATTATGAACTGTATACCAATAAATTGGATAGCCTATAAGAAATTTAAAAATTCCTACGAACATACAAACTACCAAGACTGATGATAAGAATTAGAAAACCTGAATAGACATAGAACAAGTATGGAGACTCAATCAGTCATCGAAGTCTCCTGGCAAAGAAAAGCCCTGGATCTAATTACTTCATAGGTGAATTCCCCCAAATATTTAAAGAACACTATCCTTCTCAAACTTTTCCAAAAAATTGTAAGGGGGAAAACTTACTTATTCCGTGAGGCCAGCAATTCCCTGATAGCAAAGCCAGATGAAGACACCATAAGAAAACTACAGATCAATATCCCTTATGAACACTGATGCAAAAATCCTCAACAAAATATTAGCAAAATGAATTTGATAGCATATTAAAAGGATTATATACCATGACCAAGAAGAATTTATTCCTGGAATGCAAGTGTGGTTCAATCTAGAAAAATTCATAAAAGTAATGCATCTATTAACAGAATGAAGGAAAATAATGACATGATGGTCTCAATTAATACAAAGCATCTGACAAAACTCAACATCCTTTCACCACAAAAACTCTAAATAAATTAGGTATAAATGGAAACCACCTCAAAGTAGTAAAGTCCATATCTGAAAAACCCATAGTTACCATCATTCTCAAAATGGTGTAAGACTGAAAACTTTTCCTCTACGATTAGGATCAGGGCTAGAATGCTTACTCTCGACGTTTCATTGGAACATAATACTGGAAGTCCTAGTCAGAACAATTAGGCAATGAAAAGAAACAATAGGTATCTACCAAATTGTGAAGAAGTAAAATTATCTCTGTTCACAGATGACAGGATCTTACATGCAAAATCCTAAAGATTACACACACACACACACACACACACACACTAGAACTAATAAGCAAATATAGTGAAGTTGCAGTATACAAAATCAATATACAAAAAAATCAGTTGCATTTCTATACACTAATAATGAACAATCCAAAAAGGAAATTAAGAAAACAATTCTATTTATAATAGCATCAAAGAAAATAAAATACACAGGAATAAACCTAACTATATAGGTGACTTATATGCTGAAAAATTACATACTTCTGTAAGAAATTAAAGAAAACACCAATAAATGGAAAGATATCTCATGTTCATGAACTGAAAGTTAACATTGTTAAGACACCAATACTACCTAAAGCGATCTACAGTTTCAACACAATCCTTATCAAAATCCCAACAGCATTTTTTGATGATACAGAAAAGTCAATCCTGAAATTCACATAGAGAGTCCCAAATAGCCAAAATAATCTTGAAAAAGAACAAAGTTGGAAGACTGCCAGGTTCACCCATAAATTAACCATCAGAGGACTCACTTTTTTATTTCCAAACTTACTATAAAACTGCAAGTGTAGCAAAGATGTAGAGTAACTGGAACCTTTGTAGACTGTTGGTGGAATGTAGAATGGTGCAGCAATTATAGAAAACAGTCTGGGGATTCCTCAAAAAACAGGATTACTATAGATCTAGCAATCCTAATTCTGGGTATACAGTATATCTAAAAGAACTGAAAACAGCATCTCAAAGAGGAATTTGCACACCCATATTCACTGCAGCATTACTCACAATAGCTAAGAGGTGGAAGCAACTCAAACGTTTATCAAGGGATGAATGGATAAAGCAAATAATGGAATATTATTCAGCCTTAAAAAGAAAGGTGATCCTGTCACATGGATGAATCTTGAGGGCATTAAGCTCAGTGAAATAAGCCAATCACAAAAGGATAGCACTACATGATTCCACTTATTTGATGGCTCTAAAGTAGTCAAATGCATAGAAACAAAAAAGTGCAATGGTGGTTGCCAGGGGTTGGGAGGGAGAAATGGGGAGCTGTTCAGTGGATATAGAGTTTCAATTTTACAATACGTACAACAATGTGAACATACTTAACACTTACTGAACTGTATTCTTAAAATGGTTAAGATTGTAAATTTTATGTTGTGTATTTTTTTAACACAAGAAAAAATTTTAAATATGCTTCACTACATCTTGACAACTAAAACAAATTTGACCTCACTGTCATTTAAGCCATTCCTTTCAAGAGAAAATAAATTACCAAATACTTTAAAACGCTGACCCAAAAATATATTCCTCCCACTCACCTTCCAACTCACCTTCGCTTCGGTGCCCTAATGAAGAGTTCACAGAGAAGCCTGCCCTGTTCATCCTTATAGTCCCGGATGGTGTTGTAGAGTTCATGACACACAGCAATCTACACATTGGAAAAAGAGAAAAATCACAAGAAAATTGAGTAGAAAGCCAGTGTACGCATACGCATTATCTTTAATAAAAACATATTCATAAAAGGCAGGTAGATAAATAAAAGGACAAATCCTCAAATTACCATACGTGAACCCAAGTCTCAAATATGCTGACAGTATCTCTATTTAAAATAATTTAACTGCCCTGGCCCAGTTGCTCAGTTGGTTGGAGGGTTGTCCTGTACCAAAAGATTGCGAATTCAATTTCTGGTGAGGGAACATATGTTGCAGGTTCAATCCCCAGTCAAGGCATGTGCAGGAGGCAATCAATCGATGTTCCTCTCCCCCCCCCGCCCCCGTACCCCCATCCTCTCTCTAAAAGCAATAAACGTATCCTCAGGTGAGGATTAAAAAAATAGATAAAAATAAAATTTGATAAATGTCTTGATATCTTTCATCACATTTATGCAACTGGTGACTTCTTTTATAACTAAATCAGTTTATATTCTCTGGCTTAAAATCATTTAATACTGGGGCTTCTTACTACTCAGAAAATAAAATTTAAACTCTAACACTGCCCACAGAGTATGTAGAATAACTACATACCAGTGCTGCGCATACTTTGCTAGTCTCCTCCCACTTGACTATCTCTCTATAATCGTAACACACCACACTCATTCATGACCCAGCTTCTCTGCTTGGAACATTTTTCCTGAGAGCTCCACAGTGCCAGTGCCTTCTCATCACAGAGACCTGAAAGTTTGGGCCAAAAGATCCCAAACCACCCAAACTTTTCTTCTTAGCACTTACCACTAGCTGAGGGTACTTTACTGATTATTAATTTGTTCACCAGTTTATGTTCTGCTTCCCCCATACTAGAATGTAAGCTCTGTGTGAAAAATTGGCTTGTCTTACACATAGCTGTATCCTAATCACCAGAACAGTACTTGGTATAGGACAAGCACACAGTTATTTGAGTTACTATATAATGGCACATACTGATATTCTTTATTATTTCATAATATTAATGTATATTACTACTGTAAGATTTCTAGCTAAATATATACTTTTCAAGGTTGAGAATATCAAGCAACAGGAAAAAGAAATGGAGAGGGCTTGCATATTAACCACTTATCACTAAAAGAAGGATAGGGAATTGTAGGAAAAGTAGGCAGAAACTGTGTGATCCAAGTTACTCACAGGATCTACAGTTGGAAGATTGGAAAGTCTCCTCCTTTTCCTGCTTGGGCCTGGTGTAGACACAGAATGGTGTCCATCATCAAAGTCCCCGCTGACACTACTGGAAGGGGAGGTTGCTCTTCTTCTTTTGGAACCCATGGAATCCAACTTCTTCTATAAGAAATAATTTTCAATGTTCTTATATTTAAATTTAGACTCTGTCACCAAGCCCTCAGCTGGCCACCTAATATCAAGCCTCTGGTTCATTCAGGAAGATATTTTAACCGTGGCAAAGAAGCCTGACTAACTGGGATATTTTTCAATGAACGTTCTAGACCTTGTTGCTTTAGTCCCTTCATTTACCAAAATGCTATACTTTCGACTTGGAGAGGACAAATTCAGGAAACATGTTCTCATTTGTGTACCAACAATTTTAAATAATTCAAACAGTTCTGGCCTCAAAATACCCTGGACTGGTGTCTGAAAGCCCACATGCAATGGTACAACAGTGTGCTGGAAGTTTAGACCCCTCAGCCCCTGAGGAAGGTAGGCAAGCCTTGGGGATAGAAGCCCCAAGGAGTCACCTCTGGAGTCAGCAGCCTTATCTGTTTTCCCCAGGGTTCCTTAGAATTACAGCCACTTTCCAGGTGGGCCATGAGGTGAAAAAGAACAGGAATCTGCGCCTGAGGCCAGTGAGTAGCACAAAAAGTTAGAGGAACAAAGGACAATTAACCTTCTAGCATTTTAGATGAACCCTAAAATTAACAAAATGAGAATGACTTTTCTACATTCATTAAAGAGGGACCCAAATGACATATCCCTGGAAAACACTTAATGTGACTTGCTGTACCTGTGCCAAAATAGCAAAATTGTGCTTTGAAACTTTTCTCTCAAACCAGGCTAACCTCCTTTTCACTTCTATGAGGTTATTCTACCCCTGCAAATTATGAAATCATAGCTTTAAGTTTCAGCAGATGATCTGGAAGAGCACCTCAGAGTTGAGTGTTTAGATCCTGCTCAGCCTTTTATAAACTTGCCCTCAGTTTCAGGCAGGTTAAGTAACTAACTTCAACACTTTACACTTAACACTTAACAACTTTACACTTTACACTTAACACTTAACAACTTTACAAATATATACATTTGACTATTACACAAGAAATGTAATCACTGGGATGATCTGCTACATCTAGAGGGGAAGGTGTATACCAAGAAGGTCCTACAATGCTTATACAATTTAACAACAGTATCGAATAGTATGTTGTGATTTTAAAGGTCTTTCTCTAACACTAAAATAAAAAACTGATCCCAGTTTCACTCATCAAAATTCAATTTTAGAAACTAAAACAGTGCACCTGAAAGAAGGGGTTGCTAATAGTATGGAGAGGTAAACTGGGGATCTTGAGGGAATGAAAGCAGGAACAAAACCAACCAACAAATAAACGATTCTGGTATGCAACAAAAAAACAAGAGTCTCCTATCTCTTCTTTCAACAGTCTATATGGTATTTGAAAACATAGCCCTCCATGAAGATGTTCATCTAGGGTTTGCTTGTTACACAGTACAATAGTTTGCAGTTGGCTACAACCGGCTAAAAGCTCAAAGGGCTTAAGCCAGGACAGCCAAGTTTTGATTTTTGTTTTATAAAAGGCTGATAAAACTGTCCTCAATCATTAAGATGAAGAAACTAAGGACCAACTCTTTGTAAACAATCGATAGCAACGACACAAGTGAATTTGATAAACATGAGGAGGGAATCTTTATGAAAAGGATAATAAAATTTAAGAAAGGTGGAAGGGAAAAGACAAGGAAGAACAGAAAAGGGAAAGAGTGTAGATGATCAGTAATTTACCAGCTTTACCAGAGCACAACCAGCGCCTCGAAAAGCCAGTCTCCTCATTATGTCTGTAGGCCAAGTGAAGCCAGTGGGAGAAGGCAGGGCTTTAAAAGTGCTGATTCAGTGTTAATATATTCAAAACTGAAAGAGAAGAACAAGACAGAGAAAGGGGAAATAAAAAAGAAGGGTCAGAAGAAGTAAATAAGGAGAGGAATAGATAGAAAACATTCAAGTAGAACTGCTAAGGAAAGATAAGAACTGGAGAAAACAGGCGTATGTTTTCTTGTGCCAATGAAACTAACTGCTACAAAGGCTCAGGCATTAAAAGTACCTCACATTTCTTCCATTTTAAAACCAAATGCTTTTCATGGGCTTAAAGATGACTCACTGAGGTTCCCCTTTACTCACATGGAATGACTGTCAATTCCAGGAATGAAGCATGCCTGCCCAAATGCCCCCCAGTCAATGAGAGCAGAGTTCAATCACAGAGCTGGAATGGAGAGTGAACACATGTGGAGGGCTCACATGTGACACCAAGTGTTGGCAAGCTAGAACAAACCAAGAATGGCTCATGTGAGCAAAGTATGGAAAACTCCTCTTCCCCCCAACATTTCTTTCCAAAAGTCCTATCAGCCTTGGGAAGACTCCATACACAAGTGTAGGATGGTTAAGGGGGGGAAAAAAAAAGCCTTCAACTTTGGCAAGAGGTCAAAATTACATTAACAAATAATCCACTGAAAATGAAATGACAAAAAAATATAAATCATTTGGGGGAGGGTGTATAGCTTAGGTCATACAATATCCAAAATCCCTTTAATCATTAATTTACTTCAGTAAGAAAAAGATACAACTTAATTGTAACTTTTTAATGTTTTCTTACTCAAAAGACACATTTTCAAATTTATTTTAGAAGTTTGGCAAGAAAGGCACTGTAGTCAGGTGGGTGGGAGGAGTAACAGAACCTGAGCTCAGCAGACAAGAGTCCCAGTTCTCCCACCTCTAATTATCTTATTTGATATTGCTTGAGTCACAACCTCTCAGATTCATTTACTCGTTTCTAAAATGAGAACGGTAAAGAGTACATGTCTACCTGGGATTGTTGTGACAGTGAAATTTATGTGAAATCATTTTGAAACTTCAAAGTACAACAAAAATGTTAAGTTTCGACTTTAGAATTGCATGTTCCCTGGGCACAGAAACAGAATTTTATTCATTTCGTAGCCTTTGGTTACAGAATAATATTTGGTATAGTTTGGGCAATCAACTTATGTTTTTAATAAATGTATTAAAAGAGCACTTAAAGGGAAACTTTAAAAAGCTTGCGGAGTTCAAAAAGCCTATAAGCATCCCTTCAGCAATTCTTTTTCCATAAGAGGAAAGTAGATTCCAAAGCTGAAGTACGTTTTAAAACGGCATTTTAGACAAGGTTACATGTCCTAAAAGTCTGATAACCAATGATAAATTACAGCAAAGAATAACTTTGTAACTCATAACTGGAAAAATATTTACTCAGTATAGCCAACTGGTATATTTTGACAGTTGATAAATTTTAAGTACTCTCCTGTATTCCTAGTGATATTTAATACTGTAATACATTCTTAAACAAAAATTGTGGAAAACATGATTCAAAGGGAAAAAAAATCACTTAAAATTACTTCTGAGAGAAAAACCACCCTTAACATTAGCTTTCACAGCTTTCAGCATTTATTCTATGACTTGGTTGCGCCCCCTTTTTTTTTTTTTAACAAAAGCTTTAGCAAACTGTATGTATTATTTTGCAGCCTGTGTTTTAACTTACGGAAGATTCTTCCAAGTCAACATTTTTCCATATGACGCTTGATGGCTTGATAATTGCCTAATGTACAGATACACCAAAACTTACTAATCCTGGGGATTTGGGTAGAATATTAATATTTGAGGTATTCTGGACACTCTCAAAGCCAAAGAAAGTGGTCAACACACTTCAATTTATCCACACACATCTGTTACTGTTTTAATTTTAAAACACTCCTTCAATAGATATTTTCCACTCTTTCTTTCAATCTTAAAATATGAGCAATCTGTTAACAAGTAATAAAATATTATACTACTCTCTTATATTTGTATTTAGTTTGCTTCTAGTTGATATTTGGAAAAAGAGTGCACTTGAAATTTTTTTTAAAAACCCTAAAAATCATTTTTGAGGAGACCTACTTTAAAAGTAAGTTAACAAAAATATTTTACTTCAATATATGCTTCTATATTTATAATTTATATACCCACTATAGCCTGCATTTGTCACTTGTTTTTCAGGATTTCTTTTACATTTTTGCCAATCTTTGTTCCCCTTTCAGTCACCAATAGCTACCCTATAATGACAAACTATGCTTCTCTTTCAGTAAAAAATTTTTGAGATGGAAAAATTTAAAAATCAGAAATATACAGTTTAAAAACTTCGACTTTGTGGTGTTGCAGATAAGAAACTTAAATATCTGGCGCCTACTATACATGCAAGTCCCACTGATAAAAAATACTCGCTCTGAACAGTCATCTGGAAAAAGCAAAAAAAAAAAAAAATCACTATTAAGTTTGTGTCTCGACCCTCAAGAAACAACAAAAAAAAGAAGGCCCTGACCTGCTTTCCCGACCTGTCACTGGCATGGGGATGGGGGAAGAACTAAGGGAAACGCTGATAGCTTTGCAGCCTCACGCAAGGAGCAATTGACCAGCCACCCCGGGCGGGAAAGAAGGGCACGGGGAGTTTCCGGGCCGCGGCGCGCCTTTGTCCTGTCCGACAGGTGTTGCAAGCCGGCCGGGCCCGTCGCGAAGCCCGCCGCCTTGCCCCGCCCCGCGCCCCTGGCCTGACCAGCACGTCTCCACAGTCGGGGCGGGGCCTCCGCCGCAGCTCCCGCCCGCCCGGGCCCACACAAAGGCCCGGGAGCCGGCCGAAGAGGAACGGCCCCGCCCGTCCCAGGCCCGGCCTTACCCAGCCGCTCCGCCGCCTGCAGCCCCGGCCGCGGTCCCCGACCGCCACGCCCCGCCCTGTGGCCGCCACGGCTGCTGCTATTGCTTCTCCGGTCGCGACCGCTGCCGTCGCTCCAGCACCCGCCGCCCTCACCGCCCTCTCCGCCCTCACCTCCCTCACCCCTCCCGGTGCCGCCGCAAAACCAGCCCTGGGGCCGCCAAGCGATCCCGGCTACGCGCGACACTGCGTGCCCGCGCACGAGGGCCTACGGCGGCGCGCTTTACGACAGGGCGGCAGCGTGAGTGCGTGACGCTCGCTGGTGCCTTAAGATCACACGTGGTGCTGGCGGGGACAGGTTTTACTTGCTGTTCTTGCTGCCACTGTTCGTCTCACCGCCAGTATGAAGCGGCCGAGTGAGTGTTGTGTGGGCTTGGGCGTGGAGGAGCCACTATCTCTGATGGTCGATGAACCCATTCGGGTTCTCTTTTGGGAACTCTTCTGAGATTTGGTCTGTGCAGGAGTAGGGGTGTGCGGGTAGGTCGTCCTGGTCCTGCTTAGAACCAAGAGTTGGAAGGGCCAATGTTAATCGCAGGCCCATGGTACAAATGAGAGGGTTGGGCACACACAGGTAAGGATCAGGCCAGAATTTCGTAATGAAATAGCGTCTGGGCCAGGTTTAGGGCTGTTCTTTTCCCTTATGAGGCCACGTTAAGTCCAGCCCCGGTGAGGTCTGAGATTCACTTCTCAAACCCACCCTTCGCTCCTTTGGTTTCTGATTCGTGGTTTACGTGTAGTTGCTGTTGTCTTGGGTCTCCTACTCTCCCGACTACGCTCTCAGTCTGATATAGGAAGAGTCGGAGGGGGTAGTTGTGCTCCGCTCTTCGATCTATTGAGTCAAACTCTCTGCGATTTGAGAGTGGCATGTGCATTTTTATTATGCTCCCCACATGTCTCTTAAATTAAGTTGGAGAGCTTATTAATTACTTGAACAGGGACTTGACCCCAGAGCGAAGTCACCAACAGCTAAACAATTTGTGTCTCTTTTTGTGATGTGTTTCTTTGTAGAGTTAAAGAAAGCAAGTAAACGCATGACCTGCCATAAGCGGTATAAAATTCAAAAAAAGGTAAGTCCTGTGCTTGGGAGAGGTCTACCAACTATAATGCTAAACTGATGTCTGCCCCACTTCTCCTGCAACAGGAAGTTTGGATTACTATGATTCATTTCAGGAAATGGAGGTTGCATATACTGACCGTGGTACAGGTTCTCTTTTTTAAATTGACTGTAGGGAGAGAAACATCAATTTTTTGTTCCACTTATTTATACATTGATTGGTTGATTCCTGTATGTTCCCTAACCAGGGATTGAACCCACAACCTTTGTGTATCCAGATGGTGCTCTAATCAACTGAGTTACCTGGCCAGAGCAGCACAACATCGTAGGCATCAAGAGTGCAGCTGTGGGAAACTGAGTAATTCAGTAATAAAGTCTGTAAACTTTGATTGACATGTTAACAACCTTTACAAAAAGAATCTCCCAGTGACATTTTGCTGTTTTGTACATAAATAGGCATCTCTGTGTAATTACAGTTGAAGTTTCCTTTTTTTAATTTTTTGGGGTCAATTTACGGGTAAAACTTGCAGCCAGATTGGTTTCTTACAAAAATTCTGTGTAGTATTTTTGTAAACCGATAAAAAAAATTTTTATGATGATAGGTTCGAGAGCACCATCGAAAATTGAGGAAGGAGGCTAAGAAACGGGGTCATAAGAAACGTAGGAAAGATCCGGGAGTTCCAAACAGTGCTCCCTTTAAGGAAGCTCTTCTTCGGGAAGCTGAGCTAAGGAAACAGCGGGTAAGATACATGAACTGAAATTTTCAACAAGTGATGTGTGATTTTTTTTTTTTTGAAGTAAATTAGTATAATTTACTAATTATAGCAGGTCACTTTGGCTCACCCATCTCTCTTCTGGTTCGGATACAGCTTGAAGAACTAAAACAGCAACAGAAACTTGACAGGCATAAGGAACAGGAAAAGAAAAGAAAACTTAAAACTAATCCTGTTGTTGAGCCATCTAATGTGGAACCTGTGAAGGAGGTACGATTGAGTCTCTGAATTGAGAGGTCTATGGAGAAAAAAAGCACATGAACAGGGCAGAAATTGCTATGCCTGTTGGGAAGAAAAGGATTGAGTTCAGATACTGTTTATCCATTGCAATACCACTGATCATCCATGGAAAATGGAGAAACTGGCATCAACTGTTGAATTTCTAATTTTGTGTCCTTTTTCCTTCGCCTTCAACCTTTAGGAATTGGGGCAATGCAAAGCTAGGAACAAAGCCAAACTGGGCAAACAGAATCCAAAGAAGTTGTATTGTCAGGAACTTAAAAAGGTATTTTAAACTAGGGTTTTCTAAAAATGACACTGTTTTAAAAGACTAGAGTCATTTTCTTTTTTCTGACACCAAAAGATGAAGTAGAATTCATTTGAGCTGGAAGAAGCCATTCACAAGAGCTGAAGCAAGTAGGTTTATTCTATTGAGAGCATTTCTGTTGTTTGGCTGAAGAAAATATTCTTATCGTTTTAAATTTTTGCACAGGAACAGTTAACCATAAGCATGATTTACAAAAGTGGTACTTTGTGTTAAAGTAACACCTTTGACCCAGTGGTTGTTGAGAGAGG